CTCGCGAATTATGTAGTTGGTGAAATTGTAACTAAATAAGCGTCTCTTATCTCTTAATAAAAAAGGATCAGTCTGGAATCAAGAACGTCAAGCTGTTTTTCCTCTTGACATATTTCTTTTTCTTTTATGTGATGAGAGGCATTATCTTCATTTTAAAATAAACGTTATTTAAATAGAATCTTTTTTCCGACGGTTCTTAGCTGCAGGTGAATCCCTATTGATCACAAAATATCTAATCCAACAACATACTTACTACTGCTTTACTTATAATGACAATAATTCACAAAAACTTTTAAGTACTCCATCCATTAATCGCCTTAAACACTTAAGATATTGTAGTACAATACAGAAACAAGTCAAAATGTTTCTGTATGAGTTGTAAGCTTCAACTACAGCTGTATCGTTCATAAAGAAACTATTAAATTGTTGTTGTATGAATCTAATAAAATACCAAAATGGAGATATTATACTGGTCAAGCTTTTCAATGATTTTTATTCGACTGGTGATATCCCTGAAGATTGGTTAAAGTCCGAATTCATAACACTACCGTAAAAAACAACGTCCGAAAAACTGTAGCGATTATAGAATGATAAGCCATATGAGCCACACTTTGCAAATATTTCTACGCATCATCCACAGTAGAATCAGAGATAAATGTGAAGAAGATCAGGATGAAACACAATTTGGCTTCAGAAATGGACTGGCAACTCGGGACCCCCTTTTAGCACTAAATGTATTACTGCAGAAATGTCGAGATCAAAGGAAAGACGTCTTTGCTGTATTTATTGACTATTAAAAGGCCTTTGATTGTCTCCGGAGGCGTGTCAGGCAGAAGCTGACAGCCGTGCCGGACGCATTTAGAAATTCGGAGAAATACTTGGAAATTCCAAGTGTGGGCAAATCCGAATTTCTAATTGACTCGATGCAGGGAAATTCCACTTTTGCTACGTAAAACAAAGGATTTGTTTTATATAAAAGCAGACGGAATTTCTCTCATCGGTCAGTCGAGCTTGCCTCTTCTTCTGTAGACCTAGTCGGTGCTATTATTGTTCCGACTAAGCTATTGTTTTATTTCTTATTTCGTGATAATCATTTATATTTTATTATTGTATATTCAGACCTTTTCAGGTTAGAATATTACTTTGACTTATATTTGTTCATATACTGATTATTTGATATTTTATTTGATTATTTTGATTGTTTATTTTTCTTGTATTTTGTATCTAAGTTGTTCTTCCGTAAGTTAAGAACACTTAGAAATATTTACCTTACTTTTTTCTATTTTTTTGATTTTGTACTTTGTGTCTAAGTAGTTCTTTCCGGTAAGTCAAAGAACTCTTAGAAATATTTCTCTGACATTTGACTTGTTAATTTTATTGTGTGCCTAAGTCATTCTTTTCCGGTAAGTCAAAAGAACACTTAGAAATATTTTTATAATCATTATTGCATTATTATTTCCGATATTTATCTAAGATATTTTCTTAATATATTTGTCTCTTTTATTTTACCATTTCATGCTAAGTTGTTTCTTCCGTAAGTCAAGAAACACTTAGCAATATTTCCATATCTTTTCTGTATTTGATTTTCTTATTTTCTATTATAAGTTGTTTCTTCCGTAAGTCAAGAAACACTTACAAATATTTGTATTCTTATTTTACTATATTTGATTCTCTTGTTTGTTTTCTGTTCTAAGAAACACTTAGAAATATTTCTATACATTGTTTCATATTTACATATTTCATTTATCTATATTTCTGTCTTAAGTTGTTTCTTCCGTAAGTCAAGAAACACTTAGGAATATTTCTGCACTTCTCTGTTCTTTTATTCTTGTGTATTTTACTTTTCATTCTAAGTTGTCTCTTCCGTAAGTCAAGAAACAATTAGAAACATTTTCTGTGCATTGTATTTTTATATACCATTTTATTTCCTTGTTTACTAAGTTATTTTTTTTTTTGTAAGTCAAAGAATACCTAGATTATTTTACCTGTTCTGTTTTTCTATTTTGATCTGCTATTTTGTAACTGTTACCTATAACAGATACTTGTCACGGTAACTGTTATTTTATACCAGTAGCAGTATTAACACGTTTTACCAGCGACAAGCAAAGATGGTCAACACCCGATCAAATTCCAGGGACAGGAAGAAGTCCGAAGAGCCGGCGATGGGTCCTACAGGCCCAAATGCCCCCTCTCGGCAACATGATCGAGTACAGCATCACAAATTAATTACAATATTAAAAGATAAAGAAGTTGATAGCCAAGACATACGCTTCATAGAAAAGTTATACTGGCGTCAAACAGCGACAGCTTGCATAAACGGAAAATCAACAGAAATATGTAAAATACAAAGAGATGTCAGACAGGGTGGTATACTATCCCCACTGTTATTTAATTTATATTCAGATAGAATATTTAAAGAAGCGCTGCATAATTTGGAATGGGGCGTGAAAGTTAATTGAATTCTGATAAATACAATCAGATATGCAGACGATACAGTTATTTTAAGTGATAACATGAATAGACTACAATGCCTTTTAAATGCCATTGATCCAGTGGAAAGAGGGTTTGGCCTAAATAGAAACTGTTCAAAAACAAAACACATGGTGTTTAGCCGTTTAGAACATCAAGATGAACGGTTATATGTGGATAGTCATATAATTCAAAGAGTGTCCACTTTTAATTATCTTGGTTGCCATATTACTGAACAACTAGATCCAGATCAAGAGATAAAATGTAGAATTGAGATAACCCGCACGACATTTTTAAAAATGAGATCATTCTTCTGTAATGATAACTTGCAACCTCAACTTCGAAACCGCATGGTTAAATGCTACATTTGGTCAGTACTCTTATACGGTGTCGAAGCATGGACATTAAAAATATCCACCATTAATCGTCTGGAGGCCTTTGAAATGTGGCTGCACAGACGTATACTAAAAATTCCATGCACGGCTATGCTGACAAATGTGGCAGTCCTTGAAAGAGCAAATGCTGCTCGCGAGCTGCTTGATAACATCAAATGTAGAAAGATGGCCTATTTTGGACACGTAGTAAGGGGAGACCGATTTAATATTCTTCTATGATGGGTAAAATCGAAGGACGCAGAGGAATTGGTAGAAAGCAGGCCTCTTGGTTGAAGAATATCAGGGAGCGGACAGGAATAAGGAAAGCTGAGCAACTCTTTAGAATAGCTCGAGACATGAGACAGTTTCGCCATGTTAATCGCCAACGTCAAGGGGACTTAATAGGGCACGTTAAGAAAAAGGAGATATTATCATGGTACTGAGGTATATATTTTTCTTTTTTTTTTAACTTGTACTCTTTTATGGCTGATAGCCAGTTCTTCTATTTCGCTTTTCCAATGTATTTTATAATTCATTCTGTATACACACTGTACTACGTCAATAAAGGTCTTCCATCTTTCGATCACATAGATGTTAGGATATTTAAACAGACATCATTCAAACAGAATAATCTTCTTTTTCTTCTTTCTTTTTATAAGCAATTCTGATTGTTCAGTGGCGTATTAATAAGTCACCGATTGGTGACTTATCTCGTGTTATTTTGACGACGCAGGTCTCCCCCACTCTGCTCATGTGGTCTTTGTCACATAGTGTTATTAAGGCATTCTGTCAGTCTATTTGCTTTTTGTACTTGATCTGTTACTTCTTTGTCCAGATCCCCATAGCTGGAAAATGTAATTCCAACGTATTTAGTTCCATTACTTGTATCATTTATATTTTACATCTGGTTAGTTCTTTGCTGATTACTTTTGTTTTAGTTTTCTGAGATGATATTGTCATATTAAATTATTGTGCTCTTATTTAAATCTGTGGATCAGTCTTTGCAGACTATCTTCATCTTGGACTATCAATATTACATGGTCTGCGTAACAGAGTATTTTTATTTCTTTGTTTTCCAAGAGTATTTTTGTTTCTCTTTTTCCCAACCTGTATCCTGTTCCTTTGTTAACACTTTTAATGATTTCATCCATGATTAAATTAAAGAGCATAGGGCTTAATGAGTATTCTTGTCTTATTCCGCTGCCTATTTCTGTAGGTTCTGTAAGTTGTCCATCTATTCTGACTTCCATTTTGTTGTTCTGGTAGATGTTTTCGATAGTTTTTATAATATTTAGGGGAACTTATATTCTTTATTATACAGGAGATGGATTACATATTTATGTCTTACTCTGTCAAACGCTTTATTTAAGTCAATCAGACACAAAATTGCTGGTCTATTATACTCTAGTGATTTCTCAGTAATTTGCTTTATAACGAATATGTTGAATATGAATATGTGCATATGTGCACGATCTTCCACTACGAAAATCCTATTGTTTATTTGCTAAATTTAACCTCTGATTTATTAATACTTGTAAAATTTAAGTTGTAAGTTTTAGGGTAGTGTTTAATGAGTTTATGCCCCTGTAGTTGTCTGGCTGTTTTTTATCTCCTTTTTTAAATAGTAGAATTAGTTCGCTCCTTCTCCATTGTTCCGGTATTTTATCGTGTTATATAATTTTATTAATTAATGTTGGTAATTGTTCTAGTGTCATTGCTGCTCCACAATATTTCAGTAATTTGTTTGGTATACCGTCTTTACCTTCTGCTTTTCTGTTCTTCAGATTTTTAAGTATTTTAAGAACTTCGTGTACATTTATATTAAGTTTTTTATTTGTGGTAATTTCTGGTGTCTCCGGTTCTAGTGCCTTTTCTTCTTCCTCTGCATAAAGCTTTTTAGGTAGCTAATCCACGTATCATGTTCTATATGTTTTGGTTCTCTTAGTTTGTTTACCTCTGTTCTTTGACCTCGTATGAACCGCCATATTTCCTTTTGCAGACCGTAAAAATCATCGGGTATTTCTGTCGGAATAATACTATACAGAATTAATTATATTTCAATTTAATAAAACTCTTAATTTTAACACTTATTTGTTTATTAGTTAATATAACTTAATTATTTTTGTTACATGCATGTAAACCTTAGTCTATTAGATCTTAATTTTGTTTCTGTATGAACTGTAGAAAATCTAATGGAGTTACGACACCTACTGGTTTGTTGATTTTGGAAGGTCCTTTACCTAAAATTTAAAGTTTATTAATATTGACTAAATATAAGAATAAGAAAAAAATAAAATTCATTCTTTTAAAATCCAAAGACTATTATTAAAATAAAAGAACATGAACCGTATATTATAAACTAGAAGACATGAAAGATTTTTGGTTCTTTAGCCGTTTGAAAAATGGATTGGAAAAAAAGTAAAATGGAAATGAAAGTAAAATGTAAATGAAAAAAGTTAAAAAATTGGCAGTACAAGAAACCTATTGAACAACAGAGTAACTGTTATAGTATAAACGAAAAAAAAAGCTAAGATAGATGCTATAAAGAATTGATCTAAGGGAAAATATTATTTCTTTGCCGTTAATGTTGTAAAATATCTTATTATTATTAATTTCTTACCTTGAGTATCCAAAATTATCAGATATGGTTCTCGTTCCAATACTCTTGAGACAAGTCCAATGTTGGCAGATTTTTCTAGTCTGGGATAAAGTCGGTCGAGAGCATCTGCTATTGGATCACTAAGCTTAGCATTACCAGATGTGAGCTTGTTAATGATTAGTTGCATAGAAACTACTCCAACAACACCCCTAAAAATATATTCAATTTATACTTAAGGGCACACATTAACCGACAATATAATTTTAATAAGACTCCATTTAGAGTTCGTTATTTCCGTATTTAGAATTTAGGCAGAGTTTCTTAGAAAACTAGACCTTATAATCCTCTACTCGTCTTTTCTATCGGTAAATATACAATTAAAAAAACTGTATAGAACCTACTGCATAAAGTTTCTTATACAATATAAAAATGTAATGTTTTAAATATAACTCACCCTTGACCATCCAATGCTGGTATCTGACTAAGACCAAGTTTCTTCATTAGGTTCAAAGCCTGTTCAAAAGTAGAGTTTACTGGAACCGTTTGTAGTGCTGGAAGACCTAACTGGGAGACATTTAAATCCCACCAACTGTGAAAAGAATTCATAAATAAATCAAAGTAATCTTTTCATTGGGATGTCTTTTAACAATATACCACAAATAGTCACTAATAGTGTCAGTGCCTTTACAACTAAGAGAAGCTCTGCTTGATGGAAAAATATCATTACATAAAATAAATAAAATAAACTCGTACTTACGGATGGTTATTAATGTTTACAGCAGGTTGTAGATTTCGTTCTTCCATCCATTGGTCGCACACAAACTTTGTTAAATAGTTTCTAATACTATCTGGCAAAACAACTACAACTTTTTTACCGCGACCAAAGTTTTTGGCTTTTGCTGCTTGAACAGCAGCCCACATCATAGCTCCACTGCTAGCCCCTGAAAAGATAATAGTATTAAGTATCTTTCAAGATGAGTTAAGTACTAGTACAAGTAATATTACCAAAAAATAAGAAAAGATGAATTATAGAAATACATAAAGATCAACTGAAAAAAAGTTATTCGATTCAACTAATGTAGAAGGTAGAAGGTCATATCTATGAAAAAACACAATAAAAATACGAGTAGAAGAAGAACTCACCAATCCTATTGAAGATGGCAATGAGATAAGACAGAGAGATTCCCTGAGTCCTCCATTGTTCAACCTGATTATGGACGAAATAATAAAAAAAGTAGGAACTAAAAAAGGATACCAAATGGGAGAAAAACAACTTAAAATAATCTGCTATGCAGACGACGCAATACTATTCTCTTACAGTGAAGATCATTTACAACGTATTAACTTAATTTAACATAATAATTCATCCAAAAAAGACAAAATGCATGATTACAACAGCAAATTTACCAAGATGTTAATTGCAGCTGGAAGGTCAGATAATACAACTAGTGATAAAGTTTAAATAGCTACGCATAACATTATCTAGCTACGGAAAGCTCGAAACGGAAGGGGAAGATCAATTGAATAGAGCAAACAAAGCCGCAGGCTGCTGAATGAAATAATATGAAGAAATAAAAATATCGGGAAAGAATCGGAAGAAAGAATTTACAAAACAGTCATTAGAGCAATAATAACATACGCGATAGAAACAAGACCTGACACAGAGAGGACAAAAAGGATGATAGAAAGAGCAGATATGAAAACACTTAGAAACGTTGATGATAAGACACTATGGGACAGAGCTAGAAGTACAGATATACGACGTAGATGCAAGATCTTCTTCTTATGGTGCCCTATTCAATTAGTGGATGTTGGCGACAATTCTGGCATACTCCTCTCGATCTTATGTGGCTCTAAAGAGTGCATGGGCATCCAGGTTTGGCAGATGCAAGATGGAGAACATCAGGAACTAGGTAAGAAATTCAAGAGTATAATGGAACGATCATGTAAGCCGAATAACAGCAAATAGACAGCGACGAAGTAAAGACGACAAGAGACGCTTCTCCAATAGGAATACGATCAGTAGGAAGACCACGAAAACGATGGAAGGACAACTTACTGGGGGCACATTGAAAAATAGACAGAGGCATGTCTATATACAAAGAAGAAGGAGAATTAATGTAGAAGGAATTTATATACCAATTATTGAGTTATTCATAAACTTTCGCCATTAGTATTTTTATCTATAGTTATGATCAGCATGACTGAATATATTTTTGAAGCTATTTATAATTAACGAGTTAATATTTTTCTTTTATTCATGAATGGAAAAATGAGGGAAAATTGTGAAAAAAATCTTAAAGAAAATTGTAAATAGAGTATACTAATAAAAAAAAGAAAGGATATACGCACGAATAGAAGCGAAAATAAATTAGACAGAGTATCAAACCATCGCTTGATACTACTTAAGGAGTCCAGAAAAAATAAAGTACTTATTTGTTTATTCTGTTAAAGTGTTATGTTATTTAATATATTGTTGATTTGTTAGTTCTTACCAATTAAAAGTCCTTCATCCTTAATCAACCTTCTTGCCATTGGCAAGGCATTCTCATCTCCTACTTTAATCCAAGTGTCAATGACTTTGCGGTCCAAAGTTGAGGGAATGAAATCGTAACCCATTCCTTCTATTTCCCAGAAAGTGACGTCGGTTTTATTAATGGCTTCTGGTAAAGCAAAGGATGATCCAAATGGATCTGCACAAACGATTTCGGTTTTGGGAGAGATTTCTTTGAATTTCCTTCCTATACCCGTAACGGTACCACCTGTTCCTGCTCCCATTATCTAAAATTTAATTTTTATAGATTAAGTATTATTATAATTAGAGAGATTTATCCCATATAGAATTTTTAAGACGAACAAATTTTGCACAAACGCACTCATGAAGATAAAAAACAAAATATAAAAATGAAGAAAAATTAATAGTAGTAGTATGAAGCAGTTAGGCAATATATATTTTTTTGGCAGTGTAATTAATAATGATACCACGAATATTCGGTTATTATTCGTAATCCTTTTTTTTACAATATACAATGTAAGAAATCACAATAAAACCTGCATTATAATTATAACATCGAAACTAAAAATAAATAACTGCAAGTAAAAACAAAAATATTTGGAAAAAAGGGAATAGCTGTTTATAAGATACCTATTCCAAATTTCTATCACGTTAACGGTATTATAATATAAGGCTTAATAACGATGCTATTATTAAAAAAGATTGACATTGATGATTGATATAAAGGATTCGAGTATTCCTTTATGCATATTCAATTATCATTTTAGAAACATATCGCTCATTTGCGACAAGAATGACATAATTCAAAAAAGTAAAATTTTCAGAAATCGCTAATAAAGATTTTATCAGATGATTTCTAGTTATCACATTGCTTATCCAACTTTTTATAACATATTAGCAAGGTGTACATATATACAGATATCGTAATTTAATAACACCTTATGTTTTCCGTAATTTGTTTCGCATTATTTTGTCTAAATAAAAATAAATAAATTTTTATGTCGTTCTTTCTAAAAAACATTTTACCTATTTTGGTATTATTCCGAAAAATGACATTATTGTTGATAAGTGCTTTAATTTTTTTTAAGAAAGACAAGACAATATTTAGTATTATGTCTGTATTACTGCAATTTTTCTTGAAGTAAATATTAATTTTTAACTTAAAGAATATGGAAGGTAATTCATGTAAACATTTTTATTAACAAAACATACCTTTTACAAAAAAATACCATTTTGATGCTTATGCTACAACTGAACAAGAAGGTTTTAACATAACATATTTATAATAATCTAAATTTTAATGCAATTAATACAAAACGAACATTTTAAACCAAATAAAAAAAAATAAAAATATTTATAATGTCTTGTAGAACGGTGCATAGTATTTCGGTATAACATTTTTGTTTAATAAGTCAAGCAAATCGGATTTTTTTTTCAGAAATTCCTGGCTTACAGTCATAAGCTTTTTTAACCACTATTTCTGGATATTTTTTCCTTTTAATTATTACGGCCTTTTTAAAAGTCTCATCGTTATATGAGTGTTTGTAGTATAAAACCTGTGGGGATGATTTTTCAAGTTTCAAAATTTTGATACCTGAAAGTTTAACTGGCTCGTTTTCTACATTTTTAGTGACATTCAGTCCCATTTGTGTGCAAACATCCTTCCAGCCAAAAAAATCTTCAAACGACATTTCAGGTACGTGATATGGCTGTCCATTTTTTCTTGCCGATTTGATTGCCGCAATGAATGAATCTGGTGTGTACATGGGACCACTTTTTAATTGTCTTTTCACCTGCCTTTCTATGAGCGAATGTGCAGAATCACCCTCGTTTTGAGTGTGGCCCTTTATTAAGTACTTATGGGTTATGGATCTGATATTAGGAAGTTTTTGTAAACAGTATGAGTAAACAGCCAACATAAATTTGTTCTTCTACTGTCCAGTGCAGTTATCCGAGTAGAAAATAACATCTATATCGTTTTCTCCCATTGACTTTGCCTGCAAATAGTTAAAAACGCAGGTGCCCAAATCATTAACACCTCTATTTCCACTAGACTTATCCCATACAAAGCAATCGGCAGTATTTCAGTGTAAGTCGTAAACTGTAAAATTGAAAACATTTAATTTTGATTTATAGTAAAAAAGGGACACATCACCTTTCGGGCACTGAAAAACCGCCTGTAGGTCGTAAACGACGACTACTTGATTACTACTACAAGTTTTTATGGAATTTCCAGAAATTAACATTAGAAAAGACTGTACCTTCTGAAAAAGAACTGTTACAGTAACTACAACTAGAACTACTGCTGGAGGAACTAGAACTTCTAGAATGACTTATAGAAGAACGATTTTGATCATTTTTATGTAAAGTATCGAGTAGTGCCGGTACAATTGGCGATAAAGCATCTGCATCTAAAAATAAAAAAGTTATGAAATATTTACTAGATTATAAGTATAATGTAGTTTACCTCTTGGATTGATCTGTGATTGTTCGGCATCGTAAGGAAGCTTTTCATTTACAACGGAATGCTGAACTTCTTCAATATTTTTTGTAGCCAGGTCTAGTATAAATTTACCACGGGTGCCCATTTTTATGCTACAAATTTAAAACTTCAAATATAAACACAATTTAATTTTCTTTATGTAGAAATATAAAAATAAGTATAATTGTTAAAAAATAATTATCTTTTGAAAATAACTTTTGCTAATTTGTTATTTTCAAGATCGTCATAATACAGTATAATATACATTTTAATACATACTGTCTTTAATTATAACTATAATAACATCATAATACTAAATAATACATACTTAGGAAAGCATTAAAGAAATATTGCTACTATAATAACAGCATAATTCAAAATGTTTTAAAACAATAAATTTTCTTTTTCATAAAAAACGTCATATATCAAAATAAACAAAGTGTTATGTTATTAGTTATTTTCAAGAAGAGCGTCCTAACACTAACTCGGTCATTCTAAATAAAATGTTTTATCATAAAATTGAACTTACCTTTTCAAGAATAACGTCTACTCATGAAATATGTCGTTTTTGACGATATTACACGCAACCACCTCTACTGAACACTGCAGCACAACTGAAATTCGACGTTGTTGAAGCAAGCGGAAGGCGAGTACTGAGTGGAGTTAGAACGACACTGCGACCCTTCTTTCACTACCGAAGGTAATTCTCATATGTCGTCCTAGCAGCAATAAAATATCACAAATGATGATAATGTGTAACAAAAATCTCGTTAACCTCAAATTTTGAATTATGTCGTTCTTGTCGCAAATGAGCGATATTTACATTGGATAACCTTGAAAGTTATAAATAAAGCACTTGTAAATTTTTGTACTCCTAGTTACCAAATTAAATTCTTTTTAGATTCATATCTTTATCTAAAGCAAAGCATAGGTACTTTATTTAATTACAAAACACTTGAGATTTTTTTATTAAAGAGATACTTACTATCATATCTACTTGCTTGTCGCATTGATCATAAATTTCTTCTGCTGTGGTATCATAGTGAGTTAGTGGATTGCCGGGATTCGAGAACTATGAAATAAAGAAAATAACAATAAATATCAATTATATTTTATGTATTAAACTGTTCAAACATATATTTATTATTGCCTTGAGTATTAAAATAGTTTCCTTAAAAAATTCGTAGACAATACTAATATTTTAACACTAATATTTAAAAGAAATATTGGTTATTAACTCTACATTAATGTGTTAATTTTTTAGTCTGAGATCTGAGGATCTTCTAACATTATTGCTGCAAGTTGCATTGCTCCTGTAGTGAATTGCTCCATGTTATTTTAACCTATTCTAACTTTGCTGTATCGTACTGCGGAAGACTAATAAGTTGTAAATACGAATTTACATTCCGTCTTTTGTACATTTTTTCTCAACCTTGTTGCTAATTATTCCATTGCTCTTTACAATAGTTTATACTATTTACTCGTAGTTTATTCTCATTTTGTTGCTTTTTTGTCAGGTGGATGTAGCTTCCTCCATCGATGTCTTAGTTTTCGCTCTGAGATCTCAGGGTTTTTTAACATTCTTGTCACAAATTGGTTGCATTGCTCTTGTAGTGATTCTTTTCCCAGAGGTAATTAAACCTACTTAACTGCACTGTAAGGACCAGATAGCTCAGGCGGTAGAGTGTCTGATGATCCCGTAGAAGGTCGGAATCAATTCCCAGTACCGGCGAAATCTACTAAAATTTTTTAAATATCTACAGGATCTAGATCGACTAGGCCTGAATAAAATGAGTACCCTGGGTGAAACCAAGGGTAATATTAGTCGGTAGAAGCTTAATAATGGCCAATGTTACCTTTCTTGTATACCGTAGATCCAAGAATACCAAACTACCCTACTCCCAAATCCTCCCAAATACTCCCAAAGCTGTGTTAACGGTATAAAGGGAGAGACTGCACTGCACTAGATGACTGGATCAATAAGTCAGCAATACGCATTCACAACTGTCTTCCATCTTTTATACCTTATCTTCTTTATCTGATCTTTATTGAGAGCTATGCATTTGAGAGATATATATTGTATTAATCCTTCTTCTTATTAGGTTCTTTTCCATTACTGTAGATTGACTATAATTACAGAAAATTGCTTTATATCTTGAGCTGTCTTTAGTAATGAATAGGTGTCCATGCCTGTCAAGTCATCTATTCTTTATCATCAAGCATTTTCTTCATTCCAGACTCCTTTTTCCTTTTAATTTCCTTTCCGTTACGAATCGCAGGAAGTTTTATGTTTTTAGTCTGTAAAGTATTATAGATAACTAGACGAATGCAAACTAGGTCCAAAGAATTGCAAATTTGGCCATACAGTTACCCACAAACTTACCACAGGACAGAAAATAGACATCATCTGTTGCAAATTTGTCTTACCCGTACCACATTAGAAAACAAGCACAATAAGAAAGTTATAGAAATAGAATCACTATAAAGCATCTACAGTAGAGATGATCCCCTAAACTTTTACAGCACACAAACTCAACGTCGTAAACCTTTCCTGGAAGTATTTTACATAAACTTCGCAATCCATATCAACATGTACCTCTCCGATCGAAAAAATAACTAAGAAGAACTTATGAAAGTCATTGACAACAAAAATCAATTCGTTTTTTTTTTCAAAGTTCAAACTATCACCAAAAGAAACTTGTAAGGGGACACCTTTTTCCCAACTGACTCAGTAATGTGTACAAAAGCTTACCTGATCAAAAATAACGCTGTTAGGAATCTCTTTCGATAAACGATGTACGGTTCCAAACATTCCATATGGAGAAAATGAATTAGCTGTGACAGGGCATCTGATGACTTCAGCTCCAAGGGCTCTCATTACGTATTCTTTCTCTTTTGATATTTTTTCTGACATTACAATTATACAACGATAACCTAAAAGATGTATAACAAATTTAGCATATATTAGTAATAAAATGAAAAAGACAGCAAATATTTGATTTCACGCAAACAGCGCCTATGTATCTGTTGATACGTATTTCGACCTAATATGTCTCATCAGAACAGTTATTCATAGGTGTTCTCAACGTGAAAAATCAATATTCTCTGTCTTTTAAGAAGCAACACTAAAATGGCTTCAATACGGACGCAATAATAATAATAATAATAATAATAATAATAAAATCCGTAAAATAGTTTCGAAACACAATTCAGATTTCTGCTTATAATCTGAGCCTTCTAAAAATTGCAAGGCAAACAGACGTTGATAAAAGATGTTAAAAGGAACATGGGGAATCTAAAATTTGCATTCCACGACATGCCTTTACAACTAAGCAGAAATCATTAGCGAATTGTGTTTCTCGTACTCACACAGAGTATATCCGAATAAAATGGAAAAGACAGCAAATATTTGATTTCACGCAAACAGCGCCTATGTATCTGTTCATATGTATTTCGACCTAATAGGTCTCATCAGAACAGTTATTCATAGGTGTTCTCAACGTGAAAAATCAATATTTTCTGTCTTTTAAGAAGCAACACTAAAATGGCTTCAATACGGACGCAATAGCGACATCTAATAATAAAATCCGTAAAATAGTTTCGAAATTCGAAAACGAGAAACACAATTCGCTAAGGATTTCTGCTTGTCGTGGAATGCCGACATTGTTGCATTGTCGGCAACATGCCGACATGTAAAGACATGTCGTGGAATGCAAATTTTAGATTCCCCATGTCCCTTGTAACATCTTTTATCAACGTCTGTTTGCCTTGCAATTTTAAGATGGCTCAGATTATAAGCAGAAATCTGAATTGTGTTTCGAAACTATTTTACGAATTTTATTATTATTAATAAACTTAAAATTATTTGAGCAACAGCAATTGAAGTTCAATAAAACGGAAAGAAACAAAATTTTATCAAACCTCTAGAAAAGTATATACTTATATAACGTACCTTTAATAGCAGCTGCCATAGCCAAACCAATGCCAGTGTTTCCGGAAGATGGCTCTATAATGGTACAACCTGGTTTTAGGATGCCTTCGTTCTCAGCATCTGTTAGTATTCTGTTTGCCATGCGGTCCTTTACGGATCCACCAGGATTGAAGAACTCACATTTTACATCTAAAAGTAGGAGTAGTAAATATTTTTTAAAACATTTATTATTCTGAGTATAGTGTCGTCATTTCGTCAGGTATTGTGTGTAACTAAAGTCGGCATTGACCTGACGATATGTGTAAGCAAATACGGAAATAGGGCTACTTTAAACTAACCAAAGTGATAACAAAAAATTTCTAAACTTAACCTGAAACTCTGGAATAAGAAAATCATGAGAAAAGTATGGAACACATCGTGGTAAATAAAGGTCCTGATAGCCCTAATTTAAATAACGAACAAAACCATTTACCATATATTTTTAGAAATGAGTGACAACATTAAATTAAAGACAAATTTCACAGTCAGTAGTTATTTTTTGTTTATTTGAACAATTTGAATTGAATATAAAAATTTATAAAAAATGCATGTACGTCTGCTGCAATATGAAGGATATTACTGGATAACAAAGCCAGAAAGTTATAGTCTGTATTATTTAGGTAATCGTGCAATCGTTCTATATTACCAAAAGAGCTAAGACATATTATCAAGTTGATGAAAAACAACCATACAAACTGATTTTCCTAGATGACCTTGTTTCACAGTTTAGACCGTCAGTTTTATGACGAAGTTCAGCTATGATTTTAGCAAAAAGGCTACTAGTGCCCCAAGGGTGTTAATTATGACCTAAAAATATAATGTTAATGGATCGATATCCGTAATTTTTGCTTTCAGGCCACTTGAAAGTTTGTAAGTTTTCACAATAAGGAACCTGCACAAAAAAGGTATAACTTTAGGTCGAGAAAACCAAAACTTTTTTACTTTGGAAATGTTGCGGAAAATTAGGAATTAGAATACTCTGATTCAAGTCTAAATTTACCTTTTTGAGATTCTGCTATGACATTGGAAGGACACAAAAAGAATAAGGGATTGTTGAACTTCGTATTGAAATCAGACAGTCTATTTTTATAATTCCTTCTGAGAATTTTATTTATTACGAAAATGAATGCTTCATACTTCATTCGAATTAAAACTTGGGTGAAAGAAAAAACTTTTCATTTATTTGCTTTTGTGTGTTTAATTATTTCAAGATGGTGAAAACTTAATATTGATAATTTCTTGATACAAAAGTGAAATAAACTACATGCTTAAAAATCATCCTCAGTGGCATTATAGCGCGTTATGAGTCAAAGCCTTCTTCAGAATAATCTTCCATTCGCCCCTCTCTCTGGCAACTCTTTTCCATGTTTTCACTCCAATGGATTTTAGATCATCCTCTGTGTTATCTTGATACCTAAGTTTTGGTCTTCCTCTGGCTTGTTTTCTTACTGGTACTCTTCGGTCGAAAATTTTTCTGATCGTCGCATCTTCATCTCGCCTAATTACATGTCCTATCCGTCGAAGGCGTGCTAATTTAATACATTTTACAACCTCAGGTTCCCCAGAACTTCTGTAGAACTCAAAGTTGTAGCGCCTTCGCCATAAACACTATTCTTGGACTCCTCCATATATTTTCCTTAGAATTCTTCTCTCGAAACGTTTAAGCAATTCTTGGTCGTTCTGTGTAGGTGACCACGTTTCTGACCCGTATGTTAACACTGACCTTATTACTGTTTTATATATGGTAATTTAAATTTTTCTGGGTAGTTTTGGGGCCATCTGTTTCCTCAAGCTATAATAACACTTATTAGCAAGTACTATTCTTCTTTTAATTTCTTCGCTGACGTTGTCTTTGGTCAGCAGCGAGCCTAGGTAGACGAAGGTGTCCACACCTTCCAGTTCCAGATCATCAATTAATAGTCTAGGTATCTGGTTGGCTGATCTATACCCTATAATACAATACATATACTTGGTTTTCTGTGCGTTTATTTTAATCCCATTCTCAATGCAGGCGCCCTTAATTATCGATATGCTTCGATCAGAGAATCTGTGGACCTAGCAATAATGTCTATGTCATCTACATATTCGACCACTTGTACAGATTTATTAAAGATGGTGCCATTCGTATTAATATGGTCGAATTATTGTTTCTAGTGCAAGGTTAAATAAGAGACACCACAATCCATTTTCCTGTCTCATTCCATTTTTACAATGGGAGGGGCTTGAAAAGTCGTTTTGGATTCTGACCACACTCTCTACGCCTGTGAGTGTAAGTTCCGTTAGTCGAACAAGATGAAGCGGCATTTGAAATTCCACCAAAAGTTTTTGTATGTTGACTGAGTCGTATTCGGCTTTGAAATACACGAATATGTGGTGGGTGTCGACTCCAAACTCAAGTGTTTTCTCAAGAAAATTCTCAATCATTGAAAGAAAATTTTATTTAAGTCTTTAAATATTTCTCTATTGTAATTATAGGTGGGACATTTTAACGAAATATGATAGTTATTTTATTAATTCTTTGAAATAGTGTATGTATAATATTATATCTATTAATCTTTATCTTTATTGGTACATTTGTAATTTATAAATGTGACTTTTCCAAAAAAGTTTGTTATCTAAAGAACCATTGCCACATTGCCGTTGATAGTTATTTATCACTGATAAAATAGAAACATATGCAGCTCTAATAATCAACAAGGTGCTTAAGTGACCGTGTTGTGAAAATAAATGGTAAGAAAAAAATTACCAAGCGTAAATATTATGAATATTATAAATATTATCAATATTATTTGTCGTTTTCTGAGTGACCCCACAATCGGCATTTGCTTTATGAAAGGTCAAAACTAATTTATTAAAATTAATATAAATTAAATATAATTGTTTAAATATTGATAAGAAATATTGGTTGACTTTAGAAGATTATTTCGAAATAATTGATAACACGTAATTAAATACAAAAATATAACACTATTTTTGTCAATTAATAGGCTAAATAACATTATGTCTTCTCCTTTTAAGGAGATTACCACATAAAAATTATATTCTGGACGTTTTATAATCATATAAGTTCCCATATTAATTAAAATGGCATTTTTAATAATATTTATTAAAAAAATTGCTCTTATGGTTTTCTATTTATTTCCAACAATAAAAACAAATTCACTAAACCTGGCTATGTATTAACTTACGTCAACATACGTTGATTTTTTCATAATTATGTTAAATCCATATGTAGCTATGGAAAAATGACATCAAAACAATAATATTGTTAGTTAATGTCAAATGTATGTTATGGTACTGAAATGCTTTTTACTTTTTGTGGATTGTACAATGGGTCGAAGTAAAGTTAACGATGAGAAAATGTGTTCAATCATTATTAGATTTTTTAATTCTCGAAAAGTCAATTCGGAAATCGCGAATATGTTGCAATTGTCACGCTGTAGTAAAAGAAATATAGTCAGATGATACATTACTACAGGTTCGGTCGTCACAAAACCTAGAAATATACGAAAAATTAAAATAACCGAAACAGATCGAAGGGCATTAAAACGCAATATAGTGAAAAATCGACGAACAAATTATATGGAGTTAAGCGTTTTATAACTTTGTGCCATTTTCGGACCGATGTCTTCTTATTCAACTATCCGGAAAGCCAGTAAATATTAACATCATTCAAACTTATGCCCCTACGGCCGATAAACCCATAGAAGAGCTAGAAGCGTGGTATGCTGACGTAGAAAAACTAATAAAGATGACCAAAAAACGAGACCTAACATTTATCTTAGGTGATTTTAATGCTAAGTTAGGTAGAGGAAAAGTTTCTGGATTGATCGGAAACTTCGGACTTGGAGCAAGGAACGACAGGGGAGAGAGAATGACCGAATTCTGCCAACAACACAACATGGTAGTGACAAATACATGGTTTAAATTACACCCTCGTAGATTGTACACTTGGACTTCACCACAACACAATGAAAACAGAGTAATCCGTAACCAAATAGATTACATATTGGTCTACAAAAGATATCACAATGCAATCATCAGTGCAAAAACATATCCTGGAACTGACATCAATTCCGATCATAATCCTGTTGTTGCAAAAGTTCGCGCAAGATGGAAACTAATAAAGAAACAAAAACCTCAACACCAACTATTAGACATCCAAATATTGAAAAACGACACCATATATCAGACAGTAAATAAAGAACTAAACAAAAATTTAGGAAATATCGACCACAAGAGAATTAGCGAGTACGATGACATAAACGTATATGATATAAAAGACTAAATAGAATAATTCGAAAAAAAATAACCGAAGCAAAAGAGAAATGGCTGGAAACAAAATGCGTTGAAATAGAAGAACTGCAACAAAGGCACGATTTTTTTAATTTACATAAAAAGGTAAAAGAGTTTACATCGACTACCAAGAGAACGACTTTTCACACCATGCTGAACACGGATGACAAACTGCTAGAATCAACGGAAGATAAACTGAAAGAATGGGAAAACTATATTAAAATAACAACGAAGGGCCAACAATTCTGAAATCTGAAATCATAAATGCAATTAATCATCTCAAAACAAATAAAAGCCCAGGTCCAGATGGAATATACCCAGAAACGCTCAAATTAATCAGCGAAGAAAATATCGAATTATTTGTCCTTTTATTCAATCGCATTTATGATACAGGTAAAATACCCCAAGATTGGCTGGAGTCAATATTCATCCCACTACCAAAAAAGCCAAACCCACAACACTGCAATGAGTTCCGTCTGATAAGCCTTATAAGTCATGCAGTAAAAGTCCTACTAAAAATCGTACATAACCGTATCTATAGAAAGTGCGAAACAATCATCGGAGACGATCAGTTTGGATTCAGAGCCGACATGGGAACGAGAGAAGCCCTGTTCAGTTTACTAGTTCTCGCCCAAAAATGGTACGACCAACAGAAAGATATATTTATATGCTTTATAGACTTCGAAAAAGCATTTGATAGAGTAAGACACGACCTACTATTAGAACGTTTGCAAGAAGTCGGTTTAGATGGAAAAGACATCAAATTCTTAAAAAACTTGTACTGAAACCAAAAAGCCAGAGTTAGGATCGAAGGTTCCACATCCGCAGAAGTAGAAATTAGGAGGGGAGTTAGA